CTGGCTAGCTAGGGATGCATTACCTACCCTTGAGTGTCAGAGCAGGCAGTGGGTCACAACACCCACCAGAACATGAAAACAACAGATTCAGTAGGGGACTTGTGGGTTCACTTCTGTGGGACTGCAGCACCTGCCGGAGAGCTGGGAGTGGTGACCTCTCAACTCAAGCCAAACTGCAGAACTCACCTGATGGGAACCCACCCAACCCTTGCAGGACCCAGAGCTAGGAGGACCAGGCTGTAGCACCCACAGCACATGCAAAGGCTGAGACTGAGGACAAACCATCCAAGAAGGGCAGTGGTACTTGCTGGTATTGTGAGATCTGGACCTGATACGGGAACATGGGGAACTCCCCTACTGGGTCTCAACTCCTACTAAGGAATACAAGAGCTGGTGCCAGAGGCGGGTCAGGCCGGGCAAGGCTATAGCCAACTACGGGCATACATGAAAGACAGGACAGGGTGTGGGATATGTCCGGCTGGGCTAGGCTGCAAGAGGTCCTAAGGCTTTGGACCTCTACCACTTACAAGAACTGAGACTGTGGGCGGGCCATGCCAGCCTGAGATGAAGCACCGTCAGCACACACAAGATGTGGCACTGGGAACAGGCCTGGTAGTGGGGCCTGGGGACTCACCTGCTAGGCTGCAGCTCTCATTGGGCTTGTGGGCAGACTGGGCTCAGCAAGCCTGCAGCACTCCCCAGCATGCATGTCAATGGAGTCGGGGCAGACAAAACTGGGCTAGACCCCAGTACCAGGTGGCAATCACTGAAACCAGACTATACATGGGACAGGTTAGGCTAGGTCATGGCACCCATTCGGCCACTAAGATCCAGGTCTTGGAATGGGCCAGGTTAAGCTAGGCTATAATACCCACCAGAGGTGCCAGAGCAAGGGGCCAGCCACATCAGGCTAGGCCACAGCACCTACCAGCACTCACAAGATCCAGGGCTGAGAACAGTCCTTGTGAGCATGAGAGCCAGGGATGGGGGCAAGCCAGGCCAGGTTGGGCTGCACCACCCATAGGCACACATGTGAGTCAAGTCCAGGCACAGGTCAGGCTTAGCCAGTCCACAGCACGCACGGACACCAGCGAGAGCCAGGAGAGGGTACAGGCCAGGCAGTGTTGGACCATTAACACCTGCCAATTCACACAAGGGCTGATGCTGGGAATTAACCATGTTGATGCAGGGTTCTAAGGATTTGGACCTCTACTGCTTTCCCAGGCCACAAGCAGGGAACTGGATGGGAAGTAGAGCAGCTGGGACACAAATTACACCAATACAGGATCCCAGCACTTGCAAGGGAGTATAAGCCAATTAAGCCATTGTACTGGGCCCAAGATCAAAATTATTTTTATACTAATTAAAATTACTAGCATCTCAGAACACATAAAGATAGTAACACCAAGCTATAATTTTAGGCAATCTATTTGCCACTCTCAGGCACCAGCAGTTATAAAAAAAGAACAGATTTCACTTAAGAATGCCCTTGAATAATGAAGGACTTACTAATTTTCCTAAGTCTCAATCTTGAAACAAAACAGCTCTTAATGATCTGGGTGATAAGACATAAGCATTCAATATTTGTGCCTCTTGTTTGAATTAAAGTTAACTGATGGGCAAAGCGCTTCCATAGCAGAATTGAGAGCTTGAACCAGCCCCTTCTTTCATGAAACATGACTTTTCAAAGAATTACGACTATGGTTCCCATCTGGCTCCTACTAAGGTGTCTGGGAAAGCAGCTGAAGATGACCCAGGTGCTTGGGTGCCTGACAACGTGAAGAAGACCTGGAGGAAGAGCCAGGTTCCTGGCTTCAGCTCTACCCAACCCCAGCCACAGGGGCCATTTGATGAGTAAACCAGCCAGATGGGAGATCTTTCTGTCTCTCCCTCTCCCTCTCTTCCTGACTCTGCTTTTTTTTTTTTTTAAGATTTTATTTTTTATTTGAAAGGCAGATCTCACAAAGAAGATAGAAAGAGAAGGTCTTCCATCTGCTGATTCCCCTCCTCAAATGTCTACCACGGCCAGAACTGAGCTGATCCAGTGCTGGCAGCCAGGAACCCAGGTCTGCAACATGGGTGCAGGGGCCCAAGGACTTGGGACCATCCTCCATTGCCTTCCCAGGTCAGACAGCTGGACTGCAAATACAGCAGCTGGGACATAAACCAGCCCCCTTCTAATTAAAAAAATATATACTTAAAAAATTTTAAAAACATATCCATACTTTTCTACGGTATAAAAATACCTGCAAGCTACCTCTATAAGAGGAATGCAAACCATAAATGAATTCTGTTTAGGCATTGATCCTATCCCCAATATACTTTGTTATATATGCAAATATTCCAATATCTAAAAAACAAATCCCAAATCCCAAGCAGTATGAGTAAGGGATACTCCACCTGTATCAGATGCTGCAATCTAAGAAAAGCTAGTGCGTAAAATCATTCATAGAAAGAAAAAAAAACTTTCTATGGAACATTACACGAAAGCCGAAAATGTACACAACACCAAATCAAAAGTAACCATGCTCTAGGCAACATCAAAACATAAAACAAAGAATATTTAGATGAAAGTGATTTTGTAGATATTCTTGAAACACGTAATATGCCGATCAGATAAACACCCACGAATACTGATGGACAATATTTTTGATCACAGGACACAACGGGCAAAGAAAAGGACGATTAAAATAGCAGCCACCACCAACACGAGGGAGACGGTCCAAGGGTCTGTCAGGAGGAACACACAGGTATCCTTCCGAAGTTCTCCAGCAACATCCCAGGACAGCCAGCAGCACGGGGTCTGACTGTTCTATTTAAAACTGACTTAACATGTTCCCAAGGCAGGAGAGTGAAAATAAGCCCTCAGCCCCACAGAAGCAAACAGATCAAAATGGAATTCATCTACACTAACACTTCTTGGACAACCCAGGCAAGAAAAGTAGTTGCAGTAATGACAGGTACCGCAGACACAGCACTCAGCAGGCGGGGTAGGTTAAATATCTTGCACATTCTATGCTCCTCCAATACTCTAGATCATCTTAAGGACTTACCCCTCCATGATTCCACTTTTTAGAGTTGAAAAACCTGCGGCCCAAGAAGAATGAACAAACTGCCTAAACCAAAGGTAGGACTGAATCTTCATCTGGCTCTAAGGCACAACCCTTGGCTACTACGCTACAGTACACATGTCAGCAATCAGTGTAACACATGAAATTTATAATGCAGGGTCCCAAGACTTCCTGGTTCCCCCTGGGTGAGTTTTCCAGCACTACTCAGATCCTGCTCAACTTCTAGGTGCAGAGGGCCTTCAAAGAGTACACTTAGAAAGCTGGCAACTACGGAGGAGGTTTGTTTTTTTCTAAGTCCACAAATGACAAAATGTCATGTCTCAGACCAAGGCCTCTGCTGGTGGAGGTAAACCTATCATTACACAGTAGTCTGGCTGGACTTTTCTATAGAGGGCCACTCCAGTGGGCTGCAAAAGCTTATCAAAACTGCTATCACAAAACCTTAATACACCCTGCTGCTTCTGCCCTACTGGTTTCACACCTGCCCCTTCATTTCAGGGGTCAGCGTGAATGCTTGACCCTGGGAGGTCATTCCAGACGACCCTCTGGCTGCACTGTGCAATCCACCTCAAGATAAGCAGCATGGGGAACTGGGAGAACCTGGAAAACAGTGACTGCCACCCAGACAGGGGGATTTCTGCTACTCGAGCGGAAGATCTGGGTTGAATGTCCAGTTCCAGGTTGTAGCTCAGCCCAACCCCAGCTGTGGGCCATGTTTGAGTGAGACAGGCGATGAGGACTGTCTCCCAAAAGGCATGATAAAAATTTAAAATATAGAAGCAGGGGAGAAAAAAGGTCTGCCTTTAGGAAGAGAAAAAAAAATTAGGATAAAACAGCACTATCTTACAGTATGTCCACATTGAAAACGCTTCCAAACCGGTCTTCCAGGGCTTGGTCTGGTTTTTCCACATGTGGCATTTGTCTTAAACTAGGTACCATTTAAAGTGCCTAAAATAAATCGCCTGTTTGGCCTAACAGAACTGAAAACATTCCATAACACAACTACCAAAATAAGCTACTGGTTTTCTCAAAAAGACAGAGAGTCTGTAAGAATAATTCAGGGGTTAACAAAGCAAGTACTCCTGATGTTCCAAAAGGAAAGCATGAAAATGAGTGATTAAGAAGACTACTAGAGTCATTTCTGACTACAAACTGTCGTGCATTAAACACTCCTGTAATTTTGAACTTGTGCAGGAAAAAGAAAAGGGAAAAGCAAGCATACAGAATGAGCGCTGTATGGCCAAAGAGAATTTCAGCCAAGTGTAAACCTTAAAGCACTTAAGCAAGCTACATCTAAAGGGAAGTGGGCTCTTAGGTAGACAGAAATTAACAACTCCATTCTACAGCTGCTATCTTCCCGGTACTGGAAAAAAAAAAAATCCACCCAATTTAAACCGTTCCCAGGGGCTGCAGGTAGGCTGAGGCGGCGTAGGCGAGGAGGGGCCTCTGCGTTCCGGGTTCCACCGCAGCTGAGAACCCGCAACCCAAGAGGGCAGCTGCGGCCAAAGTCTGCACTGTCATCCAGGGGCATCCTAGTGGGGTTCTCGGCGGAAACGCACAGGGCTCCCAAGCAGTGAATACAGAACCAGCTTCGGGGTGCCCATCACTGATCAAACCGCGCTGCCTTTTCCCCAGCTCGGCAGCCGCCTCTGGCAGGGTGGGTGGGCGCTGGCGGAGGGCGGAGCGCTCGCCCCCGGCAGGGCTGCGCGCGGCAACGCGGCGACCGGAGCTGGGACCCGAGAGAAAGGGCAGGGCGGAGAGGGGGCGGCCTGCGCCCAGACACGGTGCCGGGGACCCTCCAAGGAAACCAGGCGAGGGACGACGTTTCAGGATACGCGCCCTACCGCTCCTCTCCCCCGTCCAGTGAGGGGTTTCCCCCAGCTCCCACCCACCATCGAGCCCCACAAGGAAAACCCAGCGTTACACAACCTGTCAGGTGAGGGGCTGCCGGCCAGGACGCACGGACCGCGGCGGGGGGCGCACCCCGGCTCAGGATGGGGCGCTGGCGCGGGAAGTGCGCCGAGCCGTGGCACCGAGCTGGGGCGCCGGCCGCGTTGGCGGCTGCTCGCAGGGCGCACGGCGGATCCCTCGCCGCCCGCCGCCCGCTGTTTTCATACAAACCCCCGCTGGCCAGCGAGGCGAGGCGGCGGCAGCGGCGGTGGCGGAGGCGGCGGAACCTGCCCGCATCCCGGGCAACGTCAGCGCGGCGCCCCGCCCACCGCACGCCCCGGCCAGCCGCCTCGGGGCGCGTGCGTGGGCGGGGGTGGGGCGCTCGGAGAGGGGCCGGCGGCGCGCGCGCGCCAGGCTGGGACGGGGCGAGGACCGGGCGAGGACCGGGCGAGGACGGGGCGAGGACCCGGCCAGGACCCGGCCAGGACCCGGGCGAGGGCGCGTCGCTGCGTGCGGGGCTGGCGGGCGCCCCGGGGAGAGCGCGAGGCGCGCGGCCCCGGTGCCTGGTAGCCTGCAGCCAGGCGCGCGTGGTCACCGCCCAACCGAAAAGATCTGCGAAGGCGGCTGCCCACGTTCTTTACCTCTCCTTTTCTCTGCGCTTCCAAACAAGAGCCCCTACCCCCAAACCTCCACCCCCCAGCCTTTTCCCGGAACCCAGCCGGCGCCCACCCGCCACCGTCAGTCACCCACTGTCTGGGACTTGTAGAAGCACTGGACAAACGGAAATCACTCCCCTTGCGTAATGCATCAGACCCATGCCTGGGAGGGGGAGGTCCTCGTCGCACCCTGGGGACATCTGGCACGTTTCCCAACCTCAAGGAGAGTCACCAGGAAGGAGCTGAAAGCGATGAGCGGTTAGCCCTGCCAAGCTCCGGGAGAACAACAGAATCGTGCCGCTTCACCCGGCCTCCATAAGTTATCTGTCTGGTGCTGTGGCTGACGGAATGGCAGGCTGATTTATTTCTCGGGTTTTTGTTTGTTTTGTAATATGCCTACATATAACCACAGATAAGGGACTGCCACGTTGACCACTGCAGGCAAAGAGGAAATGTGTCCCGTAAGGCCAGAGAAAAAGCGCGAGCCACCGTCTGTCTGTCCGCTCCATTCTGAAGTGTGCTGTAATACACTGTCCCCGAGCGTGGACAGCGTTGAGTCTTGTGAGGGCGCGTAGGTCCCGTGTGCTCCTGTCTGGCGGCTGGCTAAGGAATACAGAATGACACCACAGCCAGCCAGATCAGGCGATAGGAGGAAGGTGCGGAAGGCTTGGAGTTTGTTTGTTTTTACCATTTTGCTTAGACAAATGGAAGCAGGTGTAGTGGCGATTGGGAAAGCCATCTCGGGTAGCCGCGGTGTTCCCTGCAGTGTGTGCTTAGCACTTGTCCTTATCCAGATGCAGGAGGATGCCATCTTAGACACGCCCTTTCCTGCATCCAGAGCATCCGATGTAGGGCACAGTTTTTTCAGACAACTGCTGCTGCAAACTACATCATCCAAAAAGCATTATCTGAGAACAGCTAAAACTAACTAGATGTAATAGATGTGATATGCATGAAAATTTATCCGAGACAAGTTCCTAAATGAATGAGTCTGTGGTTGTGTGTGTGTGTGTGTGTGTGTGTGTGTGTGTGTGTGTGCTCTGAAAGCCCCACTGCTGTGGTTTAGCAGCTAGGACACAGGCTCAGACTAGTACACACAACCATGAACAGCAGAGTGTCAGGTAGCTTTGAAATGATTCCAAACACAAGGTTTGCTAAATAAGTGACACATCTTTGTGCTGTGATAGGTGTCCCCTGGAGAATGTGACTTTACACCTTCCCAGACACCACAGGTGAGGGTGTGGGATGAACTGGCCTCTCCCATTGGGGTGACGCATCACACCTTGTCACATCCTAGGTGTGAGCCACTGACCTCAACGACAGGGATTCAAAATACACAGAAGTTCAAGAGTTGGATACGGAGAGCTCTGCCACCTGCTTTTCCAAACTCCTTGTGACAGTGCCACACCCTAGTCCTGGAGCTAGCTAATTCCCCCAGCTTCGCTGGCACCAGCTCTAAGCTTTAGAACAAGGGACCTCCACTGTGCCGGATGCCACTTCTGAGAACACAAAGTCGACTGAGTCCTTAAGTCGACTTCACTATCCACTGAGTTCGATTCCTGTCCTAACGGAGCAAGCACTCTTTGTAACTGCGGTTCACTCACTATGTAAACTATCTCTTCTGTCACAGACATGCCCTGCAAGGTTTTTTATTAGTCTCCAACTCTATACATGGGAAACCTAGAGCAAATTAATCTTTCTGTGGAAGCAAACCATGTGATTTGTAAGATCGTACTTTGCTTTGCTCTCAGAACCATACAGAACAGAGTCAATCCCCGTTAACCCATTTCCACTCTTTTTAAAGCATTTCTTTTGCAAACCTTGTAGCATGTAAAAGTAAATTCTAGTAACAAATGTTGTCGTCAGAATCTTAGCATGTGGTAATAATCACTTTACTGGAATTCTGCAACTCAATCTGACTAGTGCCTTGCAGTCAAGCCGATTTATTTCCATTTGGAACAAGTCATGGGGAGAGAAAAGTGAGCACTGAGCCCAGCTGGCTCCTCCTGTTTTCCTTGCCCCTGGCCTCCAAGCCTTTAAAGGTAAGGCAACCTATTGCTGTGGTTTGTCCCCCTGAACTCATGCAGGAGTTTAATCCCCAAAGTGTCTGTTAAGTGTCTCAGGAGAGCAGTCCGTCTATGGAGTTATCAGTGGGGTTCCTGTGTTTGATTCTTGCATGCTTTATAAGAGGAAAAGGGACTGGCACAGTACCTAGTTGCTGCAGTCCTTGCTTTGCATGCGCCAGGATTCCATATGCATGCTGGTTTGTATCCCGGCTGCCCAGGGAAAGCAGTTGAGGATGACCCAAAGCCTTGAGACCCTGCATCCATGTGGGAGACTCAGAAAAAGTACCTGGCTCCTGGCTCCTGACTTAGGATCAGCTGAGCTCCAGCTGTTGTGGCCAGTTGGGAAGTGAATCAGCAGATGAAAGACCTTTTTCTCTGTTATTGCCTCTCTCTAAATCTGTCTTTCCAAGAAAGATAATTAAAACTTTAAAAAAGAAGAAGAAGAAGCAGTGGTGGCAGCAAAGATGGACCTGGCGCAGTAGCCTAGTTGGCTAAATCTTCACCTAGCATGCATGCACGAGGGCCAGTTCAGGTCCCGGCTGCTCCAGTTCCCATCCAACTCCCTGTTTGTGGCCTGTGTGGAAGACCTAGAAGAAGGTCCTGGCCTATGGCTTCAGATCAGCTCTGGCCATTGCAGCCACTTAGGGAGTGAGAGAACTAGCAAATAGAAGATCTGACTCTCTATACTCCTCTCTATAAATCTCCTCTTCAATAAAAATAAATCTTTAAAGAAGAAGAAGAGGCAAAGAGACATGCGAAGAGACCTACAGTCAGTTGCTCTGCACTGCCATTCTGCACTGCATTTAGACTGCAAGCAGGAAGCCATCGTCAAATGAGGATCCTTTGCCTGGTGCCTCAGAGCCATGAGCCGAAGTAAACCTCTTTTCCTTCTCACATACCCTGATCTTCCATTATTGCAAAGGAAAGCCAGGTTATTTGCCTACAGAGTTCAACAAACTTGTTACAAAACCTTAAGGTCAGAAGGTTTAGGGCTTGGAACACCCAAAAAATCAACAGCCATTTCTATTTAAAATATGAGAGGAAAGAGCGCAAGATCAATCAAGTTTCTGGAACAAGCAGCCCTCTGAAGGTGTAGGATATTCATAATCACTCAGCAGCATTCAGTGATGACAACTTACTCAGCACTCCTCCAGTGCCAGACACAAACCCTCCTGAGACCTAAAAAACTGAGCAAATGATACCACTAAACAAAATACCCTCGTGTCAGACCAGAAAAGAGGACCACAGAAGAAACAACCAGCACTGAACTTGCATGAACATGGCACAGCGGGAAACGGAGGGGAGCAACCCCAACATTTCACACCATGGCACAGGACTGTGTACAATGGCAACGGTCTACAGGTGAGGGATGGTGTGTGTTTGAGGTCGGAGAAGTGGAACTTAAAGGCCCGTATGTGCCAACCATCATGCCTTCACTTACACCACTTGTGAAATGGGCCATAAATGTTCCTGCCACATCTAAGGCTCAATAAAGGTGGCACCTCTCTTGGACCTGCTTTAGCCCTGAGGAGTATCAGGGACATGTGAGACAATCCCCTCCCAAGGTGTCTACCCCAGAGTGGTCTAGAACATCTTAACTGTTTAGCCAGGTACCTGAGGAATCCTTGAGTGGATATCCTTGCAGAAGGCCACTGGGCAGCAGTGTAAAAGCCTTTCAAAGGATTTCCTCATCCATGGATTGGCAAGATCGACAGCTTGTCAGAACTATCAAAACTACCCAAACAGAACCCTTGGAGCTTGCTCCACATCGGGAACTCTGGGATGACACCGGCTGGCCATTCCCCATCCCCCGGGTACTGGGCAGTTAAGAGGCTGGGTGTGGCATCTCCCCTTTTCTCCTCCCTTCCCCCAGATGTGGGAAGAAGAAAAAGAAAATTTGGGAACAACAGTCCCACCCTATTTCCCCTAATCCTTAGCCCTTCCCACCCTAACTAACTATATAAGCATCATCAAAGATAAAATTTTATAAAGAAAAAATGCATCTTACAGAGCAGTAATTATTTTGCTTTGTTCTGTTTTTTGTTTGTTTTGTTTTATTGCAAAGTCAGATATACAGAGAGGAGAAGAGACAGAGAGGAAGGTCTTTTTTCTGCTGATTCACTCCCCAAGTGGCCAAAACGGCCGTAGCTGAGCTGATCCGAAGCTAGAAGCCCAGAGCCTCTTCCGGGTCCCCCACACAGGTGCAGGGTCCCAAGGTTTTGGACCGTCCTCAGTTGCTTTCTCAGGCCACAAGCAGGGAGCTGGATCGAAAGCAGGGCTGCCAGAATTAGAACCATTGCCCGTTTGGGATCCTTAACTGCTAGGCTACTAAACCAGGCCCCGGAGTAGCAATTCTTAACTGGGGCCAATAGGTCTAGTTCATGAATACACGGGAATGTGCCTGACAATCACAGTCACACAGACCCTGACTAACACGGGGGCCTCTGAGTGCTGAGCTGCTGAGAGCTCAAGAATTGTCTAGAAGCAGAAGGAGAATCTA